CAGGCAGCCAATAAAGCTGCCAGAAAACAAGCTAAAATCCTGGCAACGCCCCTCCAAGTACCAAAAATTGACTTTAGGGGGCAACGGGGAAAATTACTAGTTGCAGATTCACATCTAACCAAACTATAAACTTAGGACCAAAATGGGCTACCCACTCACTCGTCCCTCAGAGCTCCGAACTCCCCATTCCCTCCAATGGGCCAAAACCTGCTTCAGAAGTTAAAAGCCACTATTGTGTTTTCACCTGATAAAACTAAAATGTTTGTTCCTACTGTTAAATTTAAAAATTGCCTTCTTCTTTATTCCCTGCCCCCTTTTAGTCAACCCACCTTTGCTTTTAAATGGACAGATCCTGACTCTGGGACACCAGTCAGTTAACATGAACCCTTTTCGAAAAAGCTTTGCAACAGAATTTGTCAGGGTTCTGTGCCTTATACCTTAAAGGTACTCTACTCCAGTATCTAGACAATCTCTTGTTTGCAGCTACAGACTTGGAAACTTGTTTACAAGGCACTAAGACTCTGTTACAGCTTTTCCAAAACTTGGACTACTGTACTTCAGTGAAAAAAACACAGCTCTGTTCAACTGAAGTTTCCTACCTGAAATACCAGTTAAAAAAAGTAAACAAGCCCTAACCTCGACCAGAAAAGAAGTCATTTTTCAGGTTCTCACACCAACCACAAAAAACAGGTAGGGAAATTTCTGGGGGTGGCAGGGTATTGCCGGCTGTAAATCCCAGAATTTGCTAAAATTGCCAGGCCCCTATATATAGCCATGGCAGAAAATCAACCCTTAAACTGAACTGCTACTAGAAAACAAGCGTTCCAGCAGTTAAAAACAGCTATCACCCCAGCCCCAGCTCTAGCCCTCCCAAATGTTACCAAGCCTTTCTACTTTGTCCATTCATAAATAATGAGAAATTGTCAAAGGGGTCCTCACTTAGAGCCTAGGGCCATGGAAAAGACCGGTCAGTGGCTTATTTGTCAAAGAGACTGGATCCGGTAGCTTCTGGCTGGCCCTCCTGTCTTCAAGCCATTGTGGCCACAGCTTTGCTGGTTAAAGAAGCAGACAAGTTAACTTTTGGTCAGAACCTGGCTTTAGCTACTCCCCATGCTGTTGAGATTCTGCTCTGGGAAACCTCTGGCCGTTGAATGTCAAACGCATATATTACCCAGTATCAGAGCCTACGACTAGACCAGCCCAAACTAACTTTCTCTCCTACTCAATGCCTCAACTCAGCAACCCTGTTGCCTGATGACCATCCGGAGACGCCGGTGCATGACTGCAAGGATGTGCTGGATATCACCCAGGCCAGTCAACCTGATCTTCAGGACACTCCTCTGCACCAGGCTAATGCTGACCTGATTGCGGATAGTAGCAGCCTGGTACTAAATGGAGTCCATAAGGCTGGTGCAGTGGTAACTATAGCTCATGACATAATCTGGTCACAGGCTCAGGGTACTTCTGCCCAAAAGGCTGAGTTAATTGCTCTAACTCAAGCCCTGCGCTGGGGAGCAGAAAAATTAGTAAATATCTTCACTGACAGTCGCTGCCCAGATATACACACAGTGAAGAAGAGACTGCAAAGCTGGTGGGAGCTTACAAAAACCTGACGGCTGGTGGGTTAAAGACTCCAGAATTGTCTACCTGAAGTTCTTGCAGAAAAATTAATAAAACAACTCCACTCTACCACCCACCTAGGAGAAACCAAAATAGCTAAACTGTTAAACCGTTTTGATATTATCAACAACTTAAAAAACCAAGCTAACTCAGCAACTTTAATGTGACCTGCTTGTGCCCACGTCAATCCCAAGGGAGGGCCAAAACCCCTTCCAGGAATCAGTCCTTTCCAGGAATCAGCACAAGAATTAAGCCCTAGTAAACAATAAAAAGTAGACTTTGCTGAAATAAAACCTCCACATACAGGATACAATTATTTACTAGTATTAATAGACACTTTTTCGGGATGGGTAAAAGCATTTACCACAAAAAATAAAACTGCCCTTACGGTTGCAAAATACTTGTTAAATAAAATAATTCCTAGGTACAGGCTTCCTCTTTCTACTGGTTCAGACAAGGGTCCTGCCTTCACCTTGTCCATAGTACAGCTGGTTAGTAAAGCACTAAACATCAAATGAAAACTGCATTGTGCCTACCGACCACAAAGCTCTGGACAGGTAAAACGTATGAACCAGACTCTAAAAAATACTTTATCTAAATTAATAATAAAAACCGGTGAAATAATGGGTAACTCTCTTAACTCTAGCTGTTCTTCAAGCTAGATGTACCCCGTACAAGGTTGGGTTTACTCCCTATAAAATCAAGTTTTAAAAAAACCCTCCTCTGTTACCCCATTTGCGGGATCCTATTCTTGAAAAGTTTACTAATGAATCTCTGTTAAAGTGTCTCCAGTCTTTACAGCGGGTGCAGGACCCTGTCCACACCAACATCCGTGCTGTACTGCCAACTCCAACCTCCACACCGTGTCATCCGTTCCAGTCTGAAAATTTAGTCTACGTCAAAAAGTTCCAGAAAGAAGGACTGACCCTTTCCTGGAAGGAACCCGAAGTCATCATCCTCACAACCCCAGTACAAATAGTATACCTACAATTGATGAGTCAACGCATTGACTCATGAACAAGTAAAAGGGGGAAATGAAATGTCTGTAAAACTTATAATAGCCTGTAATAGCTTGCTTAATGTAAGTAACTGCATTTTTGTTAAAAATCCTCCATCTTAGCTGCTTGCTACCCAGATTATAGGCCCCCCTCCACGTGTGACTAAAATAAGTTCCTTGTACTCACAGACCCACATTCCAGTTTATTCCCATAAACTGTTTCTCCTGACTGTTTGGAAACTCCCTAGCCACAAGTTCCGTGTAATTGTATGCTTTGTTAACTAAACTCAAAGGCTACGCCTTGCAAAACTCCATTGTTACATTCTCATATTATAAGCCTATATTTTGCTAGGGACCTAACCAAGGTAACTCCATTGTATAGTAAGTCCTTCCACCTTGTCTCCATGTAACTGCCCTAATAGTTCCAGTCACTAGCTGTGCCTGGGACATAAAGTTAATCAAAACTCCTTAACAATCAAAAGTTCCCATTTTGGTTGCTAAGTTGCTAGTTTATGGTTGCTAAGTTGCTATGTATCCTCGTAGTTTTTACCTTTGTAAGCCTGCTTCACTTGGAACCGAAAGTCCTTTAGGACAATAGTCCGCTCTCAGTGGCCAGCATAAATAAAGGACTCTTAATTAAATTCTCTGTGTAATGGCAATCTACCTTCTTGCACTCCGGCATAGGTTTGTTTTTTTTTTTAAATTAGAGTAGGGTATCTAAAGATTGCTTCCTTAGAAGAAGTGAAAGATGACTTTGGGAAGACCTGTAACTCCTGAGTACTCAAAAGATTGGGCCTGAGAGGTGATCATTATTAAACACATATATTAAGCAAAATATAGTGAGAAGCATCCGGCACAAATGCTTGCTGAATGAACTTCAAAAAATAATCATGTACCTCAGTGTATAGAACAGAAAAGAAAGTGTATTTTTTTTAAGAGATGGATATTTACTAAGTACTAATTTGAACAAAGTTCTGTGAAGTATCACTGACTATGAATATTCAGGCATTGACAATCTGCAAAACAGCATTATCAAGAAAAGAACATGTGTTTCCCCAAAGATAGTTTCCTGCACAAAATATCTCAAAATTTTCAACATTCAGGTTAAAATCTGAAAAGATGGTAATGGGCCTACCAAGAGAAGGGTAATAGTGTTTTTGAAGGGAAAGCTACATTTAAAAAAGTATGGCCCACACTTCCTTGAATTAGGATCACCTTATGACTTGTATAATACTTATTATTTTCCAATCTGGCAGATATGCTGGACTTCAATTGGAAAAACCAAGATATTGTTCAAATTTAGGATTTTTTTCAGGAAGCAAAATAGTCAGCAATAATCTTATTTTAAAAAAACCCAGTTGCTAATTTGAGTATGTAAATATATTGGAGGAGAGTATAAATGTGGAGTGGCGGTAAATACAGAGCATGTTTGCTTCACAAAGCAGATTAGCTCATACTTAATAATGGAGTAAATCTGTAGAACCGTGACTCAGTTCACCCAGATGAGCAGGATTGCTAAATCTCCACTCTCTAAGTCTTTGGGATCAGTAAGCACAGAACTTTTAGGGTCAGTTCTTTAGTCTAGGGTAAAGAAAAAATTTTAAGCGACAGTTTCACTCTGTCGCCGAGGCTGGAGTGCAGTGGTGCAGTGGTAGCTCACCAAGCCTTGAACTCTTGGGCCTCAGCAGTCCTTCTGCCTCGGCCTCCCAAAGAGCTGGGATTACAGGCATGAGGCAATGCACTCAGCCCATGTAAAAATCATAGCAAAAATTCAGGACTTCAGTGCCTGCAGAACTACGCCCCTCTCCAAAGACTTCTCTGATTTGTAGTATCCTGTTTATTTTCAAACTCAAACGGGAAAACAAAAATGAAACCCTGGGGCGTCAAGTGGCATCCCGCACAAGGCCAAGTGATCTGAGTTTTCAACAACCCGTCTCAGGTGAATGATCCCACGCGAATGGTTCAGAGACTGCACTTTGAAAAGACAATGTATAGGGTTGGTGAAACAAAGTCAGCTGTCAAAGCCGATGTGGTTTTGGCAGCCTGACAGGCTTAGGTTTAGCCTGAGCTTCACACCCAAGACAACTCAATGAGCGGGGGAGTCTTTGATTCAATCCCCGGGGCGCCGGGGAGGAGGAAACTCGCCCACGCTCCCGGTCAACCGAAGCCGGCCCCACCCGAGCCGCGGCTTTTCCAGGCTCCTCGGGGTTTTCCACCAGTCCCGCCCGAGTCACGGATCTGCAGGATTCCTCGGAGCTTCCCGCCCGCCGCTGCAGCCTCCTCCGAGCACCAGCGCAGGCGACGCACAGCCAAGGGTATCCCGAGAGGCGCAGGCCGGAAGCGCCCTCCGGCCCCGCCCCCTGCTCTCAGGGCCCGCCCCCTGCCCGCCGGAGCCGGAAGTTGGGTTTAAGCGCCGGCGCGTCGCCCTCTGCGGGCAGCGCGCCACCATGCTCCGGGCTTCCCGCCGCCGCTGCCTCGCGGCTGCCTTAGCACCCGCCTCGGCCCTGGCTGCGGCGCTGCTCTCGTCGCTCGCGCGCTGCTCTCTCCTGGAGCCGGGGGACCGGGTGGCCTCGGCGCTCAGCCCCTACTTCGGCACCAAGACTCGCTACGAGGATGTCAACCCCGGGCTGCTGGCGGGCCCCGAGGCTCCGTGGCGGGACCCGGAGCTGCTGGACGGGACCTGCACCCCGGTGCAGCTGGTCGCCCTCATTCGCCACGGCACCCGCTACCCCACGGCCAAGCAGATCCGCAAGCTGAGGCAGCTGCACGGCCTGCTGCGGGCCCGCGGGCCCGGCGGCGGTGGGGCCGGGAGCGCCGGCGGCCGCGACCTGGGGGCCGCGCTGGCCGACTGGCCTCTGTGGTACGCGGACTGGATGGACGGGCAGCTGGTGGAGAAGGGACGGCAGGACATGCGACAGCTGGCGCTGCGCCTGGCCTCGCTCTTCCCGGCCCTCTTCAGCCGCGAGAACTACGGCCGCCTGCGGCTCATCACCAGCTCCAAGCACCGCTGCGTGGACAGCGGCTCCGCCTTCCTGCAGGGGCTGTGGCAGCACTACCACCCCGGGGTGCCGCCGCCCGACGTCGCAGGTGACCCGGGCCGCCGGGCCCTGCCCCGGCCTCCCCAACCCCCATCCCCAATCCTGCCCCACCTCTCGCAGACTCTGGATGTTTCCAGCCCCAGCATCCCCTCCCTTCCCTCTGTCCCCAGGCTTCGGTCCCTCGGGCTGGTCTCTCTTCTCTTCATCCATGTGTTTGTCTAACCCTCATCAGGGATACATTTAGCCCCTTCTAGATGCCTCCTTCTGTAGTAGACGTTGGGGATCCAACACGAAAGGAAATAGATGAGGTCTCTCCCAATTTTTCCTCTCCCATTCCCAACCTGTCTGCCTGGTGGCTAGTTTTACAGTTGGATGCACTTAAAAAAAAAAAAAAATCTGGAACTTCCTCAGGCTTAGCCTCTGATAATGGGTGTTTTTTGTTTTGTTTTGTTTTTACGTTAACTTTTTCAGATGACTGTTTTAGACCTACACCCTGCTTCAGGAAGCTCTCTCAAGTTTTCTTTATACCCTGCTTTTTCTGTATTGTTTTTGTGTTCTGTAGCGTGCCCCTCATTGTAGCTGTGGTCCATGGTCACAGGCAGTATCTTACTCATTTATTTCATTAATTATATTTTTTTGAAACTTGAGAGATCTAGTGATGCTCTTTTATTTCACAGGTGAAGAAGCTGAGCCCAAGAGTAAGTCCCTGAATTGTCTTTCTCTAGTTCAAGGACTAAAGCCCAGGTCTTCTGCTTTCCCAGAATGGTGCTTTTTTCACCCAGAAAATGTTTTAATAGTCACAGATGATAATGATAGTAACACTTACAGCCTATTATATGCCAGGCATGCCTCACATCTATTTTACTAAATCCTTACAACCACTCTCTGAAGTTGTTACTGTTTTACCCCATCTCACAGATTTGAGGAAATTGAAACATGAAGACACTAAATAATTTGCTCATTTTCATGCTGCTAGCTATGGACCCAGGAAATCTGAATCAGAGCTTGCTTTCTTAACCATTATACTGTACTGCTTCCATTTGCCGTGGAGCATACCTGATACAACAGAGTGAGACTCCAACTCAAAAAAAGAAAAAGAATAAAAGCATAACATTTTTGTGCCACAGAGATGGACAGACATTAGAGTTGAAGTGAGAAACACCCTTTAGCTTCAAAGGCCAAGTGAAAAATTAAAGGTAGACTTGGTTTTTCATTTCTACCATAACAGTTGAACAATGACCATCTCTATTGGCTTTCACGTTACTGTGGGTAACTCAGTTTGCTGGCTCGTGTTTAGTTACTTGTTGAATTGTGATTTTTATTTATAGCTATGTTTTTTCCATTAACACGAGTGAAAGTACCAGATAAATATGTTAAATTGAAATGTTTAAAGCAGACCATGTTTTAATATAGCACTATATATATTTATATATACGTATTTAATATAACACCATGTATACACACACACACACACACACACACATACACACACACGCGTGCGCGCGCGCGCTATGTTAAAATATATATAGTGACCTAGAATGAATGAATTTTTGTCCTCAGATGGCATTGTGAAGATTGACATTTGTGTCAGAGTACAAAGCCAGGGATCAAGGTACTACAGTTCAGAATACACCCACCTCTCACCTTTTTCAGTCTCAGAGATTAAACACTTTGTTTAGCCATTTTATTGTTGTTTATAGACGATTGTTTTGCCTGTTATGTATTTCTAGGCTTTTGAGGGAGTCCACCAAATTAGTTTCCTAAGAACTACAATTTGATTGACAAAGTGGGCAGAATTGTCTATTTCAGCAGGCACACTTATATATAAATATATATATAACATATGTGAATATGTATGTATTTTTTTGCACACACATCTGAAACAAAATGGTATAACTATATTAAACTCTTGTATATATACAAAAATACTATGTTTGGTGTTCTTTTCATGGTAAGTTATTGAAGAAATCATGATTGAGGTATATGTGTTTTGAATATGGATAAAAATCGTAAAGGGCACTACCGCAGTTGAAGTGTGGTTATGAATGCTTTTCTAATACATGCTGGTTGCCAAATGGGGAAATAACATAGCTTACTAAGTTTTAAACAGAACATTATCTGGGGCTTCAATTAGAGATAAACCAAATCAGAAGCACCTAGCACAGTGAAGTACAGTAGACCTGAAACATTAATGTATTTTGTGCTGTTGTCAGTAGTTTTTGTCCAAAGCAGAATCTTCTGTAAAGTCACACAGCGTTGGAAAGCTGATTGAGAAAATACTCTATTTAGGCTTTGGCTTAGTATGTAAAAACAGATTCCAACTGTTGAGTGCTCTCTCACCTTATAATTAGAAATTTTGCTTACGTTTATTTTGCTTTCTAAAGTCTTCTGTGCCTAACAGAGACAGTACTTATATAATGCAATTTTGCACTTTTTGTGATTTTCCTAATGTTTACTTTCTTTAGGAAAACATTCATTTCAATTACTTTACCTTTATTTTATTGTGTCTTATTGATATAACACATTTCATTTGGTCTTCAATGCTTTGTTTCTTTTAATCTTTTCTAGCATATTCTCTCATGCATTAGTCATTACAAATGGGGAATAATTTTACCATGTGTCTTTCCCGATGAATATGTGCTTAATTAGACATGCAGATTAGTAAGATATTAGTGGTCCCTTTTCACACTTGAAGCAATATTTTTAATACTTTGAAATTGTTATTCGTCAGTGATTTACAAATATATGCACATTTTTTTCTCCTTTTAGATATGGAGTGTGGTCCTCCAAAAGTTAATGATAAACTAATGAGGTTTTTTGATCATTGTAAGAAATTTGTAACTGAAGTGGAAAAGAATGCTACTGCCCTTTATCACGTGGAAGCCTTCAAAACTGGACCAGAAATGCAGAACATTTTACAAAAAGTTGCAGCTACTTTGCACGTGCCAGTAAACAATTTAAGTGCAGGTAATATGCCTGTTATATTTTATGTGAACTTCTAGTTTGAGTAATTTTGAACTGTGAAAACAAAAAAATAAGGAAACAAAAATTATTTCTTTTAAAGGTCCACAGCTAAATTTATGTTAAGAAAATATTTTCTAGATCAAGAAAATTGTACACTTCATGTTTGCTGTTTTGAATTCATTATCTTTGAGTGTTATCTAAGTTGATGTACAAGATTCTTGCTGTATTCTGGAGGTTTTTTTGAGATCAGGGTATATAAAGCTTCAACTCTAAGCATTATTTATAAAACAAAAATTATCTTTTCTGAATGTGATGTAAATGGAAAATCATAAGTTACTTAGCTTTTGAAGTGTTTCAGAAGTTCATGTTAATGTGTGAGAAGAATAAACAAAGTAGTATGATTTTTTTGAATCTTTTATATGTAGAGATGCTGAGAAAATGAGCAGTCATGTCTGTAATAAGTTATTGTAGCAGATGGGTTGACCATGCCACTTAACATCCAAACTGGACCACTTTGAGAGTGAAAGAGGACACTATTAATCATTCTGGGAAAGCAGGTGGGAAACCAGGGTACTTGGTCACCTGGCAGTGGGAAACTAAGAAAATAAGATTTTTTTCCTGTTTTCTAGGAATTTATAATCCTCAGGGCAAAAACTGACAAAAATACATGCAAAGATTGTGGATTTCATTATACTGTGAACTAATTTCCAAAAGACTGGAAGTAGGTGTTGGGGAAAAAAAATAAAGTGGATTAGAATCTGTCAATCAGGGAGCCTGGATGTGTTATAAAGATCAAAAAGAAGATGCCTAGTCCAACACTGTATTTCAGTTTTTTTTTCTGTTTTCCCAAACTGCCTGTACCTGGGGGTCACTGTGGAGTTTTAAAAAAATATTTAATTGGGAAATAATTCAAACATGAAGATAAGAAAAAAGGCTAATATCCCTGTACCCATAACTTGGCTTTATCAACATTTAACAATATATTTCATTTAGTTGCTTGAAATAAATTGAGGTCCATTGGTCCCTCTTCTGGATCTCATTCTTCTCTTTTTCTCACCAGAGGCAAATGTCATGAATTGGACATTTAAATGATTCCATGCCAGTTTTTGTACATAAATGGGATATTGTTTTGCATATTTTTAAACTTTTAAGAGTGGCATCAAACTATGTACCAGTCTGAAATTTTATTTTTATGCAACTTTGTGTTTTTTTATTTAATGCTTGTAATTCTAGTCCTGCATTTTAAACTTACATATTCCGTTATGTAACTTTGCCGATGTCTAGCCATTATTGTGTTAGTGGGCATTTAAGCTGTTGAAAAGGGTTTTTTAAAAACTATTTTAAGTCTCTGAATGGCAAGAATTACTTGTGTTTTACTGATGGAGTAACTGAGAGCGACTTCTTTTGGGGGGGGCAATATAAGTATAGTCGTTAAAATCCTGGATTCTGGGGTTGGGCTGTTTGCATTTGAAATTTGAATCTACTATCCTATTGAATAACTGATTTTTGTCAAGTACCTCTTTGCCACAGTTTCCTTCTTTGTAAAATGGATATAGGAATTATATCTGCCTCATAGAGTTATTGCAAGGATCATATGAGATTAATTAATGTAAAACAGTATAGTATCTGGCATATTAACTGCTCAATAACTACTTTTGCTATTTAATTTTTTTAGCATATATTTTCTAGAACTTATTCTTTTTTACTGGACAGTATATTTGTCCATACATAAAGATCTGTCTCATTTTTTCTTTTTGAATTGGTGTCTCACTCTGTCTCCCAAGCTGAAGTGTAGTGGCACACTCACGGCCACCCCAGCGTTGACCTCCTGGGCTCCAGTGATCCTTTCGCCTCAGCCTTCCAAGTAGCCAGAACTACAGGTGTGTGCTACCATGCCCACCTAATTTTTTATTTATTGTGGAGATGAGGTCTCGCCCCTACGGCCTCAGGCAATCCACTCGCCTCGGCCTCCCAAAGTGCTGGGATTACAGGCTGAGCCACTGAGCCTGGCCTGTCTCATTTTTTTTTAATTTTGTGTTATTTCATAGGATATATGATTCAAATTCTAGATCATTGCTAGTTAAAACTTATTTAACTCATCATCAAATTTTATTGCTGTAAGAAGCTGAAGCTAATACAGTCTAAATTCTTTTTATAGGAAACTTTATTTTTCCCGACATTTTTCTTTTTAACATTTCAAATGATGCCACAGTGAGCATTCTTGTAGTCTGTGTTTTGCACTTGAGAGTTTATGTATAAGATAACTAGGTGAAATTCATGGGTTAACAAGCAAGAATATTTTACATCTTGACATATACTTCAAAATTGTTCTGTGAAGGTATAGTAAAAATTTATATCAGCAGTATATGAGAATGCCCATTTTCCCATATTCAACACTGGATATTAGTCATTTTAACTTTTGCCAATTTGATGAATGAAAAATGGTACTTGGCTTTAATTTGCATTTCTTTGGCTATTTCTGAAAGTGAACATATTTATTAACCATTCTGAGAATGCCTATTCAAAACCTTGTCCATTTTTATTGGGTTATTGTTTTTTCTTCTTATCTATCACAGGTACCCTTTATGTGTTATGGTATGTTAATTATGTCTTTTAATTCTGCTTGACAAAGGATTAGACCTTTGCCTATTTTATTTTTACTAATATTTTCTCTCAATTTTTGCTTATCTTTTAATTTTGCTTATTGTGCCTTTAATTGTACAGAATTTTACATCTTGTATATAAATAACCATATCTGTGTCTTCGTTATGACTTGAGTGTTGTATTTTGTCTAAGAATCATCTCTTACCCCCAAATTATTATATTATCCTATTGCCTTAATTTTTTAAATGTTTCAAATCTCTGATGCACCTGAAATAGTTTTGAGATTCTAAAACATTGACCAAGAAGTCAGAAGGGTCATAATAGATTAGTTAGAACTGTAACTTATCAAGATTATATGTCTAACTGCCTTATTTTGTAGATGAGGAAATTGAGACCTAGAGAGGGTAGAGTGACTTGCCCAGAACAGGAAGTGTAAGAGTCAGGTTTCATAGCCGGTCTTCATCTCAGGCATTTTCTGTCTGTACTTCAGAGAGCTCTTGGTGAAGTTTTTTTCCCAATCAACTCCCAGTTAAAGAATACGCCATTTGAGCTGACTTTTTTAATTTCAGAATTAGAACTTTGTAAATGAGCCAGATATTTTCATCAGATGTACATGGTACATGAAAGCCACTACATTGTATTAGGTATTATGATTATAAAACTTGTCTTTATATAAGCAAAGTTATGAATAATTTTAATGTATATTCCCAGTGAAATTTATTTTTGTACTATATGCTGCCTCAAGAGAATTCTTTAAACACAGAGCTAGTGCAAAATTCATGTAACAGTTAACTTTTCATTCTATTTTCCTTTGGGAAAAAGGAAAGGCAATCAAGTTGAAGAAAAATCAAAGCAATAGAGGCAACCTCTATAGTTGATTTCTTTTCTCCCTGGCATTGAATATCACCTACTTCCCATTGACAAGAGAGCAGCAGTGTTTTTATTTACTACTGACAAAGGCTTTTTGTAGTCCAAGCACTCATTCCCTTATCCCTTGTCTTCAGTACCTATGTATCTATCTAAACGTAATGTAGTCAATGAGTTAGCCATGTAAAAATCCCAGACGACTTATTCTGAAATCCACTTCTGAAATTTCTTGAGTTTGAAAAACTGGTGCTATTACCAACATTTCTTTCCCTTTTGTGTAGTTTTTCCGTCTTTGTCCTTCTCCTTCTTGACTGTTTTACCTTTCTCTTGCCCTCTTACTTTGCTCCCTCTATATTTCCAAAGTCTATGTCCTTTTCTCTGCATTTGTCACTTCTTAGTTATGAGTTGTATGGTTTAAAAGATCATGGTTGAGTAAGTGTACTTTGTTTTGGTTACTAAAACCTTTATAACATTAGCTCCCCTCCTCCAACTCTCTGAAATTAACAATATCAAGTTATGTTTTATATGGCAAGTCTTCGGGTTAAACTTTTTGTTTGGTTTGCTAGGCAAGCATGTCCTTAACAAATAATTACTTTTAAAAGCAGAAAAAAGTTACTATTTATAGAAAATCTCTTAAATTCATTGGACTGAAATCTATACTTACTCATGGTTTCTTTCTGATAGTTTCACTTTGGCCCCTTTAGATTGTACAGAGCAAGTCTTAATTTTTTGATAGCTAGGAAGAAATTGAATAATCTCTTTCCCAAACCACACATAGCCGTTTTCTTGAGCTGTGCCACACATGGTGTTCCACAGATACTTGACCTTTAAAAAGTTGCAGAAAATAATGACCCACAAAATTTTGCCTTTTTTCTCCCCCAGATTTAATTCAAGTAGCCTTTTTCACCTGTTCATTTGACCTGGCAATTAAAGGTGTTAAATCTCCTTGGTGTGATGTTTTTGACATAGATGATGCAAAGGTAAGTATTACTTTTGTGGTTTCTTTGCTTTTTTAAAAATATGTTTTTGTTTGTTTGGATTTGGTTGCTTGAAACAACTTTTCAGAAAATAAGCAGAGTTAGGCAACATAAACTGTCTTGTGACTAACTCTTAATTTTCCTTAAATAAAAAGAAATTAAGTGTTCAAGTAAGTCTTACCTGCTTGTGAAGAGTTTGGGTTCATGAAACTCTAGAAGCATTTTTTCCATGTCGATTTGACTTCTAGATTCGCTCATTTAAAACCCTATTAACCCATCATCAAATGTTACTGCTGGAAGGGAATGTAAAGCTGGTATAATCCCTAATTCTTCATTTTATGGGAAGCCAAAGCTCAGAGAAGATAAATAGTTTTCCAAAGTTTTAGTAACTATAATAGTTTTCATGGGAATTTGAGTTCTGTGTTTCACCTGGTGGTGGCAGTAATTCATCAACAATTCCTGTCTACCTACCTCATTTCCCTTTTTATCTCTTCATCCGTATAGTTGCGAATTCTAGACTCTAGAAAAAGGAGGACACACAGGCCTCTGAAACCTTAGTTATCCCTTGCGTTTCTACACCTTCAGTATTGCATATGGAAATCAGTTATTACCTTCAGAATTTAATCACAAATTCTCTATCTGCTTATCAGATAGAGCAGGCTTTTAAGCTGAGAGCTAATATAGTTGAAAGTACGCAAGTACTGGTCATCATCAATAACTCAAAAAGCAACAGAGCTGGAGAGGATTAAAAAAAAAATACACAAGTGCTTTATGCAGAAACTTAAGTGAACAGCAACAGATCAAAGGTAACATGATTTTTGTACCAATACAGGTTGGGTGATACTGGAGGGTGGAAGGAGTTGGAAGAAGGGAGAGGACCCTTAGTGGGTGGTTGCTGTAAGATGCTGAACACAAGTAGTAAGGAGGTTTACTGTATTTCCCTTCTGTGTGCCTCAGTTGCTTCCTGATGACTTACTTTTTCTCTGTCCCAAATGCCCAGTGCCCTTCTTCTTCTCTTACTGTCCATAATGCATTATTTCTTCAGAAACTTTCTGGCTTACCTTCTTTTGAAGTGTCTTGTGCTTAGGATGACCATATTATTTATCTTCTAAATTGATACACTTTTAAAAGTGAAAGAGGTACTCTCAATAATTATGTCAGTATAGATAGAAACTGAGACTGTGGTTACCGTTCATATTTGTCAAAATACCATGGTTTTTTAACTACTCAGATTGATTCTTAGGGAAAAACCGTAATTGAAGTTATTTTCAATATGATGTAAATGAAGGGTGTTGGATGTTGGATCTTTTGACAGAAGAACTGCTTCTTCACCCAGGTTACTCTGGTTGTTGGAATATTTGGGATTTGGTTCACTTGGCAACCTACTCTTCTCGTCTTTTTGAGTCGGGGTCTCACTCTGTTACCTAGGCTGGAGTGGCACGCTTACGACCACCCCAGCATTGACCTGCTGGTCTTAGGTGATCCTTCTGCCTCAGTCTTCCAAGTAGCCCTGACTACAGGTGCATGCTACCACGCCTGGCTAAGTTTTTGATTTATTGTAGAGATGAGGTCTTGCCAAGTTGCCCAGGCTGTTCTCGAACCCTCGGGTTTAGGCAATCCCCTCACCTCAGCCTCCCAAAGTGTTGGGATTACAGACTTGAACCACTGTGCCCGGACGCAACCTGCTCTTTTCTACAATCCTTTCCTATTCTCGGTAGCTGAATCCACATGTCCCGTATTTCTGACAAGATTACTGTATTCTGTGCAGTAAAAACATACCTTTCATATTATAACCAGTCTCTGCTTATTCATCCGTTCAGCCCCTACCTGTACTTCCCTCCCTTTTTGTTTTATGTGCATCTACTCTTTTTTTAAATTTTTTGGTCGGTAGATGATACACTGCAAAAACCATGGAAAGTCAAAGTAACACCTAATTTTCTGTGCCTTGATTCCACGTGTGTTATGTGATGGGAACTATTAGGTGACTCAGGAACACCCCTGTAACTGAATATTCTGTATTTTCCTTTTCCTCCTTTGTCTTTTTAGTATTGCTCTTTTATCTCTTTATTGCTTATGAACCTATTTCTTTTTCTCCCAACTTATTTTGTAAAATTTCAAACTGACAGGTTGTAATGAGCGTTCGTATGTCCTTCACCTATATTTACCAGTTGTTAACCTCTTTGCCATATTTGCTTTATCTCCTCTATAATATATTAGTTTCCTATCACTGCTGTAATAAGTTACCACAAACTTAGTGGCTTAAAACAGCACAAATTTATCATCTTATAATTCTGGAGGTCAGAAGAAGTCCACCATTAGTCTATCAGGGCTCAAGGTATCAACAGAGCTGTGTTCTTTCTGGAGGCTCTAGGGAAAAGTCCACACTCCTCATATCCAGTCTCTAGAGGCTGCTTGCGTTTCTTGCATTACTCTAATTTCTGTTTTTATGGTTACAGCTCCAATTCTGAATGTGCTTTCTGACTACATATAATAAGAATTCTTGTTGATTACACTGGGTCCACCTGAATAATCCAGGATAATCTCCCCATCTCAAGAGTCGTAACTTAATCACATTCAAAAATTCCCTTTTATTAATGTAAAGCAATATATTCATAGCATGTTAGGGAATTAGAATGTGGATGTCAGGAGGGATCATTTATTCTGTTTACCAATAGGTGGATTCTTTTTCTCAGCATCAGAATTCTTCACCCTTAAATACTGTGACATGCATCTAAATAAGAACATTCTCCTACAGAACCACAATACAGTATACTATCATTTTTATATATTTCCACACTTGTTTTAATAAAGGTTTTTTTTGTTTTTTTGAGTTGGAATCTCACTCCATCGCCTAGGCTGGCATGCAGTGACACACTCACGGCCACCTCAGCCTGGACCTGCTGGACTCAGGTGATCCTTCCCCCTCAGCCCTCCAAATAACTAGAACTATAGGCACGCGCCACCACACTTGGCTAATTTTTTGATTTATTGTAGAGATGTGGTCTCGCCAAGTTGCCCAGGCTGTTTTTGAAACTGTGGGCTCAAGGCAGTCCTCTCACCTCAGCCTCCTAAAGAGCTGGGATTATAGACATAAGTCACTGTGCCTAGCTTGATAAAGTTTGTGTGGCTTTTTTCTGTTGTTGTTAGAAATTTAGGATCTAATCAGGGATCACTCATCACATTTGGTTGTCACATCTTTTTAGTCTTATTTAATCTCAGAGTGCTCCAGTCCTTTTTTTTTTTTGATCTTTTATACATTGGCATTTTGGAGGATTGTAGACCAGTGTATTTTGCACAGCGTTTTTGAATGTGTCTCGTGTTTTTTTTAACTTATGGTTAGATTCAGATTAAACATTTTTGACAAGAATACTACATAAGTGATATATCTTTTCAGTGCATCATATCAGAAGGATTGATGTCGGTTTATCACATCATTGGTGTTGTTATTTGATCATTTGATTAAAGTGGTGCCTGCCAGCTAGGCTCGGTGGCTCAGCCTGTAATCCTGCGCCTTTGGGAGGCTGAGGTGAGTGGATTGCCTGAGCCCGTGGGTTCGAGACCTGCCTGAGCAGCGAGACCTCATCTCTACAATAAATCAAAAAATCAGCCGGGCGTGGTAGCGCACTCGTGTCATTCACTCTACTGGCAAGGGTGAGGTAATCAGCTTAACCCAGAAGGTCAGGGCGAGGGTGCCGTGGATGAGTCATCCCACTGCACTCCAGTCTGGGAAACAGAGTGAGATCCCAACTCAAAAAAAAAAAAGTGGTGCCTGCCAGATTTCTCTTTTGTGGAGGTACCTTTTTTCCTTTGGAAATAATTTCTCATTTAAGCAAGTATGACTTGAAAATTTGAAATACATGTTTATTAAATGAATTAAGTGTTTCCTTTGTGTATATAAAAAGGAAATTGGTTAAGATTATTAATTTAAAAATAAAAAGTTCTTTTTTTTTTTTTGAGTTGGGATCTCACTCTGTTTCCCAGGCTGTAGGGCAGTGGGATGATTAATCACAGGCACCACAGCCTCAACCTTCTGGGTTCAGATGATTCTTTTACCTCAGCCTCCTGAGTACCTGGGACTAGAGGTACACATGCCCAACTAGTTTTTTGCTTTTTGTAGAGATGAGTTTGTATTGCCTAGGCTGGTCTCAAACTCCTGAGTTCAGGCAATCCTCTTGGCCTCCCACACCTGGCAAAAAGTTCTCTGGTGATTGAGGTATTTCTTATTATTTTTTTCCCAATGATTTGGTAGAAAAACAATTTATCCCTGTTTAGGACTTTCACTCTGAAATGGGTTTATATTAACCAAAGTATTTACAGATGAAATAAAATGACGTCTGGGATTTGCTTCAAAATAATCCTGCAGTGATGGTATGTAGCTGAAACAGGATTGATTGAAGGTTGGTTATTGTTGAAGTTGGATGATAGGTACACAGGAGTTCAGTTATACTCCTGTTTTCTATTTTTTATATGTTTAAAGTTCTCCATTAAGAATACTTTTTAAAAATTAAAAATAGATACTTATAAAGTGCTGAGAATTGTGGAGATTGTTAGCTTTTCAGGACCTTGTGAAGTGTTGAACCATGTGTGCCTTCATTCAGCAATACTTTTTGAGTGTTCTATGCCAGGCACTTGCTTGAAACTGAAAATACAAACATAAAATAGATATTGTCCTCCATGCCACAGACATGTAAATAAACCATTGGAAGGCAGTAGGGTGCTTATACAGTAATAGAAGTATATACAGATGTTTCTTGACATAGGGTGGAGTTGTATCCAGATAAACCCTGGTAAGTTGAAAATATCTTAAGTCAAAAGTGAATGTCCAACTTACAGTGGATTTAGCCATACATAACCCCATTGTAAGTTGAGTAGTGTACTGAATGCTTTTAAACCAGTATAAATTTGAAAAATCATAAGTCAAACCTGTATATTTCAGGGTCCACCTGTATAAGGTACAGTGGTGTGCAAAGGAAAAAGTTGATTTAGTGGCAGTCAGGTAACTC